ACACAGCACCACAGTGACACAGCACCATAGTAACACAGCACCACAGTAACACAGTACCACAGTAACACAGCACCACAGTGACACAGCATCACAGTAACACAGCACCACAGTGACACAGCACCACAGTAACACAGCACCACAGTAACACAGCACCACAGTAACACAGCACCACAGTAACACAGCACCACAGTGACACAGCACCACAGTGACACAGCACCACAGTAACACAGCACCACAGTGACACAGCACCACAGTAACACAGCACCACAGTAACACAGCACCACAGTGACACAGCACCACAGTGACACAGCATCACAGTAACACAGCACCACAGTGACACAGCACCACAGTAACACAGCACCACAGTAACACAGTACCACAGTAACACAGCACCACAGTGACACAGCACCACAGTGACACAGCACCACAGTAACACAGCACCACAGTACCACAGTAACACAGTACCACAGTAACACAGCACCACAGTAACACAGCACCACAGTAACACAGCACCACAGTAACACAGTAACACAGTAACACAGCACCACAGTAACACAGTACCACAGTAACACAGTAACACAGCACCACAGTAACACAGCACCACAGTAACAGAGCACCACAGTAACACAGTACCACAGTAACACAGTAACACAGCACCACAGTAACACAGTACCACAGTAACACAGCACCACAGTAACACAGCACCACAGTAACACAGCACCACAGTAACACAGCACCACAGTAACACAGCACCACAGTAACACAGTAACACAGCACCACAGTAACACAGTACCACAGTAACACAGCACCACAGTAACACAGCACCACAGTAACACAGTAACACAGCACCACAGTAACACAGCACCACAGTAACACAGTGACACAGCACCACAGTAACACAGCACCACAGTGACACAGCACCACAGTGACACAGCACCACAGTAACACAGCACCACAGTAACACAGTAACACAGCACCACAGTAACACAGTAACACAGCACCACAGTAACACAGCACCACAGTAACACAGCACCACAGTAACACAGCACCACAGTGACACAGCACCACAGTAACACAGCACCACAGTAACACAGCACCACAGTAACACAGTAACACAGCACCACAGTAACACAGCACCACAGTGACACAGCACCACAGTAACACAGCACCATAGTGACACAGCACCACAGTAACACAGCACCACAGTAACACAGCACCACAGTAACACAGCACCACAGTAACACAGCACCACAGTAACACAGTAACACAGCACCACAGTAACACAGCACCACAGTAACACAGCACCACAGTAACACAGTACCACAGTGACACAGCACCACAGTGACACAGCACCACAGTAACACAGCACCACAGTAACACAGCACCACAGTGACACAGCACCACAGTGACACAGCACCACAGTAACACAGCATCACAGTAACACAGCACCACAGTAACACAGCACCACAGTAACACAGCATCACAGTAACACAGCACCACAGTAACACAGCACCACAGTAACACAGTAACACAGCATCACAGTAACACAGCACCACAGTAACACAGCACCACAGTAACACAGCACCACAGTGACACAGCACCACAGTAACACAGTACCACAGTAACACAGCACCACAGTGACACAGCACCACAGTAACACAGCACCATAGTGACACAGCATCACAGTAACACAGTACCACAGTAACACAGCACCACAGTAACACAGCACCATAGTGACACAGCACCACAGTAACACAGCACCACAGTGACACAGTACCACAGTGACACAGCACCACAGTAACACAGCACCATAGTGACACAGCACCACAGTAACACAGCACCACAGTGACACAGTACCACAGTAACACAGCACCACAGTGACACAGCACCACAGTAACACAGCACCATAGTGACACAGCATCACAGTAACACAGTACCACAGTAACACAGCACCACAGTAACACAGCACCATAGTGACACAGCACCACAGTAACACAGCACCACAGTGACACAGTACCACAGTAACACAGCACCACAGTAACACAGCACCACACAGCACCACAGTAACACAGCACCACAGTAACACAGCACCATAGTGACACAGCACCACAGTAACACAGCACCACAGTGTACACAGCACCACAGTGACACAGCACCACAGTAACACAGCACCACAGTAACACAGTACACAGCACCACAGTAACACAGCACCACAGTAACACAGCACCACAGTAACACAGCACCACAGTGACACAGCACCACAGTAACACAGCACCACAGTAACACAGCACCACAGTGACACAGCACCACAGTGACACAGCACCACAGTACCACAGCACCACAGCACCACAGTAACACAGCACCACAGTGACACAGCACCACAGTGACACAGCACAGCACCACAGTAACACAGCACCACAGTGCACCACAGCACAGCACCACAGTGACACAGCACCACAGTGACACAGCACCACAGTGACACAGCACCACAGTGACACAGCACCACAGTGACACAGCACCACAGTAACACAGCACCACAGTGACACAGCACCACAGTAACACAGCACCACAGTAACACAGCACCACAGTACAGTAGCACCACAGTGACACAGCACCACAGTGACACAGCACCACAGTGACACAGCACCACAGTGACCACAGCACCACAGTAACACAGCACCACAGTAACACACCACACACAGCACCACAGTAACACAGCACCACAGTAACACAGCACCACAGTGACACAGCACCACAGTGACACAGCACCACAGTGACACAGCACCACAGTGACACAGCACCACAGTGACACAGCACCACAGTGACACAGCACCACAGTGACACAGCACCACAGTGACACAGCACCACAGTAACACAGCACCACAGTAACACAGTAACACAGCACCACAGTAACACAGCACCACAGTAACACAGCACCACAGTGACACAGCACCACAGTAACACAGTACCACAGTAACACAGCACCACAGTGACACAGCACCACAGTAACACAGCACCATAGTGACACAGCATCACAGTAACACAGTACCACAGTAACACAGCACCACAGTAACACAGCACCACAGTGACACAGCACCACAGTGACACAGCACCACAGTAACACAGCACCACAGTGACACAGCACCACAGTAACACAGCACCACAGTAACACAGTAACACAGCACCACAGTAACACAGCACCACAGTAACACAGCACCACAGTGACACAGCACCACAGTAACACAGCACCACAGTGACACAGCACCACAGTAACACAGCACCACAGTAACACAGTAACACAGCACCACAGTAACACAGTACCACAGTAACACAGCACCACAGTGACACAGCACCACAGTAACACAGCACCATAGTGACACAGCACCACAGTAACACAGTACCACAGTAACACAGCACCACAGTAACACAGCACCACAGTGACACAGCACCACAGTGACACAGCACCACAGTAACACAGCACCACAGTAACACAGTAACACAGCACCACAGTAACACAGCACCACAGTAACACAGCACCACAGTGACACAGCACCACAGTAACACAGTAACACAGTACCACAGTAACACAGCACCACAGTAACACAGCACCACAGTGACACAGCACCACAGTGAGACAGCACCACAGTACCACAGCACCACAGTAACACAGTAACACAGCACCACAGTAACACAGCACCACAGTAACACAGCACCACAGTGACACAGCACCACAGTAACACAGCATCACAGTAACACAGCATCACAGTAACACAGCACCATAGTAACACAGCACCACAGTGACACAGCACCACAGTGACACAGGACCATAGTGACACAGCACCACAGTGACACAGAATCACAGTAACACAGCACCACAGTGACACAGCATCCGGTACCGCAGCACCACAGTGACACAGCACCACAGTGACACAGCATCACGGTACCACAGCACCACAGTGACAGTACCACAGCACCACAGTACCACAGTACCATACCCTTAAAACTAGAACTAATCAACAATTTTAAGCAACATTGTCGATCTCAGTGACCCAGAATTAGTCAAGAGTGACTTAAATAATTTGCTTCCGTCTACGGGACACGTATAGCCCGTCTGTCCCAGCCGTCTATGAGACAGAATTTCCCGTCCTACAAGACAGGAGATGGACGCTGCTGACTGACAGAGACAACCGGACGTGACTACAAGATATGACTAACACTATATAGGACCAAACCTCACTTTCACTCAAACTGCTTCGACAGAACAAGTATGACAGTTTACATACAGACGGTACTAAGAATATACTCATTCAAACATGTAGAAAACTATACTCATACTAACATATCTAAAACAGTATACTCATGGAAGTAGATTATAGTATATCATGTTATTCTATGGGAAGATTTACATTGGGTAATGGACCCAATTAAATGTACTGGTGTATAGTGGACCCTCTTATACGTTCCTGGTGTATAGTGGACCCTCTTATACGTTACTGGTGTATAGTGGACCCTCTTATACGTTACTGGTGTATAGTGGACCCTCTTATTCGTTACTGATGTATAGTGGACCCTCTTATACGTTACTGGTGTATAGTGGACCCCCTTATACGGTCCTGGTGTATAGTGGACCCTCCCTGGCAACCAATAAACAGGTTCTCTCACCCTTAAACCATAAACACGAAATACAATTTTGTATGACAAGTTATTCTCCTTCAAGTTGCCATACAATCCACCAATCATACTTCGTCCAGCTCGTTGTATTTTTAACAATACATTTAATACATCTGGTGCTGGTTGCACAATATATAAATACAAACAAAAAAATATATATTCTGTTTCTTTGGCACTGAATGAAAGATATCGGCTTCCGGGAGATATAACTATGATTTGTTTCTCCTTTTTTATGTGTGTAATATTTTAAATGTGAGAAGCCATTTTTGGGTCAACAAAAAATTGTTTTCTAGAGTCTAGAGAGGAAAGTATAGTTGAGTTAGACTCACCGTTGACTTGCCATCTTAGGTACGCAGATGAAGACACAGCATCTTGAACACTTGATGGGGCTGCTTGGTATGGCTAAGCCAAGCTTGTATAACTCACTGCGTCACTACCCACACCCGCCACTGCAAAGCCTCTCACTGTACAAACACCAAAACACACACATACACACATATACACCACTGTGTATAGGCTAGAGTTGGCCTGACCACTGCGGCGACACCACACACACTCACACTGGCTACCACCTCCACACTAAGTATGTCACAGTTCAGGCCCCAACGCGCCGCGCCTCAACAAAAAAAATTCCTAATTTCTCTCCTATAACTTAATTTCTCTACCTCTCTCCCTCTCTCTCTCTCTCTCTTCCTCTCACACTCCACCTCTGTATCCACGTAAGATAATCTACCACTTGGATCTTCCTGTCTATTATGAAGGCTTTCTGTCACCTGACGACGGGTTTAGACAGTAGCTTGTGTAGGAACGACTTGGGGTCGTCCGCTGAACAACTGGTAACTTTAGTCCTCCTGGAATAGGCGTTCTCGTTAGTTCTTCAGCCTATCGTCTCCTGTGAGGTCTCACAGTCGACAAATACTACAGTAAACAGCTCGCTGCGCTGATTGATATGGTAGAATAAGATGATTCAAGAAGGACACATATGTCCCTGTTCCACGGACATTTTCTTGTATACCTGGAAACTATTGTGTGACGCGGTTGCCAGATAGTGTTTATTGGCCTTAATATTGTATATATCGTGCTTTAACGAGCAAGAGACTGAAATTATTACTCTACATTATAGAAAGTCGTGATTGCTATCATTATACGTGCTATTGTGATCACCGGTTAAATATAAACCGGTTAAAAACGGAGAAAATAATTGCTATTGTGGTATTCTTTTGAAGGTCAACCATTTATAGAAAACGACAACTGGCGTCCGGTTCATAGAAAGAAAACAATACATATTTACAGGGGTGTCTATGTTATTTATGCCGACGCCTTGTGCATGGATATATTAATCTAAATTTCATTTGCAACTGCCGTGTTGAGATTTCAATGTTTGCAGTTGCGTAGCTAAGATATACAGCGCGTGCCAAGGGCGCCGCTTAATGGTCCATCACTGAGGAGTGGCAGTGAACGTCACTCTCTTCGGATAGTGACAAAAAATGATTTGTTCAGATGTATGGTCTTTGATTATCATGAGTGAGAAGTCTAGTTTTATTTTATTTAATATTCAGCACATACACATCCTGTGGGCGGTTGTGCATAGGGGTTACAGAAGTACATAATGGGTTCTGGGACTGTGAGCGATCACTGTAGAGTCTTCAAGATAAGCAACTGACATGTGGAGAGTTAGTGACTCGACTGACATGTTTGTCCTGCACACCGCCCCCCATCCAGTGGGCAGCGGTGGAAAGGTTACAGTCACCCAGTTACTGCCTACAGTTAGCAAACTGGGGATATTTGGCTAAAATTTCTAGTAGTAGATCCTTCTTAAAGGATTAGTTACACATTTCTTTAACATTTCTTATAGAACTGTCTCTGAATTCACGTATCTTTTCGCATCTATCACATAGTGACGGAGGGTGTGCGAATAATTTTGTTGACACAGTTTACAGCTCTTCCCTACCTAAGAGAAGTATCTTTGATTGAGTATCTTTGTTTTCTTTGTTGGTATGACTAAACCTAGGTCTTGACATATGTCTAATACAGAGTTAAGAGTGTCTTACGTGTTAACATCCCCAGTGGTGTGTAATCATTACATCAACAGCGTAGTTAATGATATGAACGTTGGGTTTGCTCGGCACAGAGTTTAACACCATGTTTATTAAAATATGAAATAAGGCAGGACTGAGGTCACCGCCCTGTGGGGTGCCTAGTTAAAAGTCTCTTGTTACACTCCTATGCCCCTGGAACAATGCAGATGACTTCCTGTTGGATAAGTAATCTCTAATCCAACAAAGAAGCCGTATGAGGTATTCATCTTTCCGTAGAAACCAAAACAACATTCTTAAAGTCGTCTGTTGTAAACGCCCAAGTTTCGTCTTGAGGCAAAGCTCAACGCCTTAAGCCATATTGATGCTCTGTCCACAGAGCATTCTCTCTCTCAAATCATATACACTGATGGTTCCCTACACCGCACCACGGGTGCAGCTGGAAGTGCAGTTGTTCTGACAATGGGCGATGGCTTGTACTTTGAGTGGGGAGTCCGTATAAACAATTGGGCCTCTACCCTTCAGACCGAACTATTTGCCTTGATCCTTGCACTGAAATGTGTACAAGTCTCCAAACTTGATGCATTAATTGTAAGTGACTCCTTATCATCCTTAATGGCTCTCAACTCTTTAAGACAACTGTAACATGCTCGTGTCCGAAGCTAGACACAAATGCAACAAAGTTATTAATGATGGTAACAGAGTCCATTTCATGTGGTCTCCATCTCATGTTGGCCTCCGAATGCATGATAGAGCTGGTAAGTTAGCCAAAGAATCTGCCTTTAAAGGAGCCGTTGAGTGTAACCTTGGATTGTCAATGAGCAATCTGAGAGCAACAGTACACCGAGAACTTCAACAAGATCTTGTAGATCTGAGGCAAGGTGAAATTGACACCAGTAATTCCATCTATCATCATACTATCATGCAAGAGGAGCCACATATCTATGGATCATCCAATAAAATCAGCAGACTTCTAGATGTTATTACTGCTCGGCTTAGACTCGGTTACAAGTATCTCTGGGAATTCTCATTATCTGCTGATGTAGACCTGACCAAATGTAAACTGTGTCAACAAAATTATTCGCACACCCTCCGTCACTATGTGATGGAGTGCGAAAAGATACGTGAATTTAGAGACAATTCTATAACCAATGTTCCAGCTATGTGTAAATATTTCATTCAAAATGATCTGCTACCAGAAATTTTAGTCAAATATCCCCAGTTTGCTAACTGTAGGTAGTAACTGAGTGATTGTAACCTATCCACCGCTGCCCACAAGATGGGGGGCGGTGTAACCTATCCACCGCTGCCCACTGGATGGGGGCGGTGTGCAGGACAAACATATCAATTGTGACACTAGCTCTCCACATATGTCAGTTGCTTAATTTAGAACCTGTACTTGAGGTCGATCTCGAACCCATTGTTGATGTGACGACTTATATTGAATTTTGTAACTAGCTCATCAAGATTGTAACTTGCTTAGCTAAATGAATTGTGGGGTTCAGTCCCTGAGCCCATTATGTGCCTCTGTAACCCTTTCCACTACCGCCCACAAGATGGGTATGGGGTGCATAATAAATGAACTAAACTAACTGTTAAACGTTCCACAACTTCTGTTACAACTGTTATGTCGGCGTGCTTATCCTCCCCCCATGACCCACATCCCTCATCCCTCACTCCTCACTCCTCACCCCTCACCCTCACCCCTCACCTCTCACCCCTCACCCCTCACTCCTCACCCCTCACTCCTTACCCCTCACTCCTCACTCCTCACCCCTCACCCCTCACTCACCCCTCACCCCTCACTCCTCACCCCTCACCCCTCACTCCTCACCCCTCACACCTCACCCCTCACCTCTCACCCCTCACAACACTGAAGGACATGACCGGTAGGGGGCCTCACGCCACAAATTAGTGACAGTATCACATAGGGGCTTAACTCTTGCCTGCCTGAAGTTTGTGTCTGGGTGCTGTCTTTATATGGGTGTCTGGGTGTCTGTATGTGTCTGGGTGTCTGTATTTCTGTATGTGTCTGGGTGTCTGTATTTCTGTATGTGTCTGGGTGTCTGTATTTCTGTATGTGTCTGGGTGTCTGTATTTCTGTATGTGTCTGGGTGTCTGTATTTCTGTATGTGTCTGTATTTCTGTATGTGTCTGGGTGTCTGTATTTCTGTATGTGTCTGGGTGTCTGTATGTGTCTGGGTGTATATGGGTGTCTGTATTTCTGTATGTGTCTGGGTGTCTGTATGTGTCTGGGTGTCTGTATGTGTCTGGGTGTATATGGGTGTCTGTATTTCGGTATGTGTCTGGGTGTCTGTATTTCTGTATGTGTCTGGGTGTATATGGGTGTCTGTGCTAGGTCGACACAACGTAGGTTAGACATATACATATACTTTGTATACAGAAAATCTGTATCACGCCTTATAATAAAAATAAAGGCTGGAAGGATTTACAATAATATTTGAATTCATTAAATTAGTTTAAGTGTTGTTACTTGGCCTTATCTTTCCAACCTTTCAACAACGCCATTGACCTGTACTGACCGCGCTTCTTAACTCGTGTTGACCTCGTAGCAACCCGGGGAGTCAGCAGCAGTTGTGGTGTGGTAGTTTAACACCTCAGATGCTCCTAGGGGTACGGTTAGCCAACCCGTCCTCAGACCATTCCATCCAGCGGTCGACCCCTAAGACGATTTCACAATTTTTTACATGCTGTTCATTCAAAATAGCAATTTTCTCAAATATAAAATTAATATTATTTTATATTACCATATTGTACATATTTAGGCACTGGTTAGGTTAGGTGTTTAGGTTCTGATGGCGATTATTTGTATTTGTAGTACGTGGGTGAAGCATTTCAACCCGTCCTCGACTCAAGTCCATTACATCCAGCGGTCGACCCCACAGACTCATTCATCAACTTTTATATGCTGTTCATTCAAAACGGGAATTTTCTAAAATATAAATTAATATTATAATATATTAGCATATTGTGCATATATAGACATAGGTTAGGTTAGGTGTTTAGGTTCTGTTGGCGATTATTTGTGTTTGTAGTACGTGGGTGAAGCATTTACAGCGTTGTGGTTCGAACAAAATTCTTCAGTGAAGAACTTGTTCCGGAAGTGTTCGGACGAAATCAGTGAGTCGCTGCAGTCGCGTGTAAACCGTTTTCCATTCATAAACAGCTAGGGGGTTTGGCGGGTGCATGGAATGGACTTTGGGTCTTTACTTGGAGGACGGGCTGGGACAGCATGTTTTTACCATCAATCCATACAACACGAACTCTCCATTGAAGACGCCGGCTGTAACACACTAAGCTGGTAAATGGAACACCCCGACGCACGAGGCTTCAGCCTTGTATATTCCTTGCAGCCCGTCCTCCAAACAAAGATCCAAAAGTGATTCCATGCACCCGCCAAACCCCCTGTTTATGAATGAAAAGCGCTTTACACACGACTCACAACTGCTGACATTCGAACATATCCGGAACAAGTGCTTCACTGACGAATTTTGTTCGAACCACAACGCTATAAATGCTTCACCCACGTACTACAAATACAAAAAATCGCCAACAGAACCTAAACACCTAACCTAACCTATGCCTATATATACACAATATGCCAATATATTATAATATTAATTTATACTTGAGAAAATTCCCGTTTTGAATGAACAGCATGTTAAAATTTATGAATGCGTCTGTGGAGTTGACCGCTGAATGTAATGGACTTGAGTCGAGGACGGGTTGATTCCTTGAGCTTTAATAGTGGCTTATGTAAAGGTAAGAGCCAGTAGGCCCTTTGTGAATCGAGTTTAACTTCACATTAACACTATAGACTTCGGAGACTTAATAAATAAAGTTCTTCCCAACCTAACTATCTATCATTGAGTAATTTCATAATAAGAATTTAATTAATTTGTTAACACTGGGTCACTTCTGACAGCCAATTAGTTGTTCCGTGATGTCTTAATAAAACCTCCATTTTGGCTATACGAATTATCCTTAGAGTTTTTAATTTATATATTTTGCCCTTTAATGTTCCAGGTTTTCGATGGTAAACATCATAACAAAGAAACTAAATTATTGGCAAAGTTTTTCTGATAAAAATGGTAATGTTTTAATTCTAAATTAAGAAAATGGTAGAATATTTTTGTATAAATCATAGTAATCAAACTAATAAATCATAGTAATTTTTCTCATTGATTGGAAAGCGAGTCGAATTCAGCCCTACAGTATCTCAACATAAATATTGATATAATATAGTTATAATATATATATATAATTTATCAATTTATGACATAAGTATATAGCAGACAAATTAATCTTTTTGTCGGCTCAGTTTTGGTGGATATAATTTTATAATAAAAACTATATTCACCGAAACTCAGTCATATACATTTCTAACTTCCGCTTGAAACAATAAAGTGATTAAAAGTCTTCAACGTGACCCGGTATAATAGGAGCTGCCTATTATACCTATCATAGGCTATGGGCTAAGATAGGCCTTTGCAGTTTCCTTAATGTTTATGTTATCAGAATGAAACTGTAGGCAAACACCCCCAAGTGACAGGATGAACAACCCAGCGGGTTTTCTTCCTATTGGGGAGTGTTGTACATGCTGCTGTGGCGGTGTGTCCACTCACAAGATGAGTTGCGCTGCCCAATACTGTCACTATGGCGGTGTGTCCACTCACAAGATGAGTTGCGCTGCCCAATACTGTCACTATGGCGGTGTGTCCACTCACAAGATGAGTTGCGCTGCCCAATACTGTCACTATGGCGGTGTGTCCACTCATAGGATGAGTGACGCTGCCCAATACTGTCACTATGGCGGTGTGTCCACTCACAGAATGAGTGACGCTGCCCAATACTGTCACTATGGCGGTGTGTCCACTCACAGGATGAGTGGCGCTGCCCAATACTGTCACTATGGCGGTGTATCCACTCACAGGATGAGTGGCGCTGCCCAATACTGTCACTATGGCGGTGTGTCCACTAACAGAATGAGTGGCGCTGCCCAATACTGTCACTATGGTGGTGTGTCCACTCACATGATGAGTGACGCTGCCCAATACTGTCACTATGGCGGTGTATCCACTCACAGGATGAGAGTGGCGTGCCCAATACTGTCACTATGGCGGTGTGTTCACTCACAGGATGAGTGGCGCTGCCCAGTACTGTCACTATGGCGGTGTGTCCACTCACAGGATGAGTGGCGCTGCCCAATACTGTCACTATGGCGGTGTGTCCACTCACAGGATGAGTGGCGCTGCCCAATACTGTCACTATGGCGGTGTGTCCACTCACAGGATGAGTGACGCTGCCCAATACTGTCACTATGGCGGTGTGTCCACTCACAGGATGAGTGGCGCTGCCCAATACTGTCACTATGGCAGTGTGTCCACTCACAGGATGAGTGGCGCTGCCCAATACTGTCACTATGGCAGTGTGTCCACTCACAGGATGAGTGACGCTGCCCAATAAACTCACCCCTCGAGGCAAAATTTAAAAAAAAAACACCGCTCCGGAATATCCCGCAGTCAGCAAGACGGGTCGCGAGCTGGTTCCCCTCTGAGGATGTCAGTGTCATGCCAGAGGTCGCTGACGGTGGATGGTGCCCGTCCGTCCTCCACCTCAACATCTCATCCTCCCTGGAGTGAGGTAAGGCAATTTGATGTTCACTAAAGAGCCTCTCAAATTAGCGTAACACGATGGCCGCCATGTTTATCCAATATTATTTTATTTATATTTTTAATTCCCCATTAGTGTTCAACTTTAGGTGTAACTTCTGAAGGGTTATTAAGATCACCACAATAACCTAAAGGATGCCTTACTCCTGAACATAAGCCAGTGCTAAGTTAAATCATCAGCGTATATAATCTTTTATGGTATATATTATGGGAGTCTGTAGCTCTGGGTTGGTTAGATGTTGCCTATCAACCCCTAAAGAGTTTTTAAAACCAAACGACCAACTTGCAAGTAAATATTGTAAATAATAAAAAGCTGAGATAAATTTAATAATTCTATAATAAGTCGTGTAATGTTTTTTTTATTTTTATATATTTATACTGAGTACCTGCAGCATTTTTTGGTATATTTTATGTTAATAAACTCAACTTTTTACAAATGCCAATTTTTATCACTAAATAAAAAAATGCATAATTAAGTAAAATATTTATTATGGTGTTAGATATATAATTATTAGAATCATGATCAAAGGATAATTTTTAAAAATTACTATTATTAAATTATTTTAGAGTTGGTGAAGAACATGTAAAATAAATAAATAAATAAATATATATAGAGTATTTAGTTAAAGTACATACACATTGAGTTACAAGTAGAATTTCTAGATAGAGTTAGTATATACTAGCTAGATAGAGCTAGTATATACTAGCTCTATCTAGATTTCTAGATAGAGCTAGTATATACTATGCCCAAAATCACTAATACCCACCATAAAAAAGTATTACATTGCGAAATGTGTCCCAGACGAAGCTCCGTTAACCTCTGACCTTTGATATGACGCGCGCACACAGTGTGTGCTCTGTGTCACAGTAGTTGACAAATGGAATGCATTAGGCAGTGATGTGGTGGAGGCTGACTTCATACACAATTTCAAGTGTAGATATGATAGAGCCCGATAGGCTCAGGAACCTGTACACCTGTTGATTGACGGTTGAGAGGCGGGACCAAAGAGCCAGAGCTCAACCCCCGAAAGCACAACTAGGTGAGTAAATAGGGTAAACAAATCAACAAGGGCCGTGACGAGGATTCGAACTTGCGTTCGGGAAGATCCCAAGAAAGAAATACGGTAACTTTTTGAGCGTAAAAATCGTGCTCAACTGAAATACGGCAGAAGAGACAGTAGTTGCTGCCACAAGCAAAAAGGACCAGAGAGCACTGCATAAGACGCAATAGCTATCCAGTGGACACAGTATCCAAGAATTAATCTTGGCCACAATGTCCGATGGATGGTAGCACGGGTACCGCCAGTCATCCCTCACCAGAAAATATTAATCTAACACAGGAAGCTCTGCGCTGGGAAGCCGCGAGTGTGGCTTATCAAGCGTACTGTTAGCGAAGGTTAATGTCGCGTCCAAGGGTCACCCAACCACCTGCTAAACACACTTTTCAAGTGTATGATTCTTAAGATTCATGCAGTTTGGCTGAAGATTTTCTACTGATGATTTCACAGTGGTGATGTTGGGGGTAGAAATAGCCTAAGCTACTCTATCCCTTTAAGATGTATTTCTTTCTTGTCTCAGTAAACATACTTGAACTTGAATGTTGGGAGTCGGTGTTGAAGAGTTGCGAAGACATGCGTCTTGTTAGACTTGATGGCGTCAGAACCTTCCCGGCACATGACCAGCTGACGGAGCGAGGCGCACGCTGTCAACATCCACACCGACAACATCTGTCGGACCGGAGCTGTCGTCAGCTCCGACAAAACGAATCCAAGATCCTGCAGATGTGATAATGTTATTTACTGCCATTCTGCTATGGTCTGGGGGGGGGGGGGGAAGAGAACAGTCTGGGGCAGGGGGGGAGAGGACAGTCTTGCAGTACATATTGCATATAGTTTTCAATCAATAATCAAAACAGTATTTCAAATAACGATACAACACCAAAGTATTCTACTGAAAAGAATCATTAACAGTATTAATAACTTGCTTTGAATTTTGCTCATTTTGAAATTAATATAATTTTATATATATATTTTTTGATCTGGCAGCCATGACTGGAGATTACATCTACGTCGCCTTGGTGACGGCTCTCATGCGTGAGTATTGTACCCCAGCTCCGTCTCCTCTGGCAGATACTGAAGTCTTATCAACTATTTTCTGGAACTTCAGTGATGTCCTTTTAATGTGGCATTACGCACTACCCATCCTCCGAATTAACAATACGATTTAATACTAAGTGTAATAAGTACATTTCCTAACTGTCATATATAGTATATAATTGTACTTATGGGGCTGATATATTTACCTCTCCATTTATTCTCCTAGATTTCTGTTAAGACTCAAAATTTTATTAATAAATATTCAACTTTAATTAAATAAATACAAGTTTTAAATATCAAGAATTTGTTTTTCAGTTTTATTAAACAATGGAGATTTTATACAAAGTTTTAAAATATTTTGAGTTACTTTACAATTTATTGATATATTTTAGTTTTGTTTTATTAGTTTTATAGCTTAGTTTTATATTTATTGTACCCATGTCAGTAGCTCATGTTGGTAACTTTGGCAGGCCCAACACAGACCTATTATAAATATTTACATGTTATAAGGTATTTCATGAGTCATAAATATGTCAAGCATTATTGATATTGTCCAATTGTCTTAGATGATGGTAGTTGATTTGTGGTTGGAGTGATATCTTGTTTATGATATCTAGGAGTTAAGGCCACTCGCTTAATATTACTTACTGATTAGGTTAATTATGAGTTTAATGTTATCCTTACATAGAAATAACCAGTTTGAATGACAGCTCCATATTGTTTATAATTTTGACGGGATAGGAATTTCCAACATCATTTTGCTTCCACTTTTAGCTCCCTTTTACACACACACTTCTTAAATTTTCCTCTTTCTTCTCTAATTAATCTTCTTCTATGCTGCTTACCTCTTTACTCCCCTCATCTCGCAACCATGCAATCCACAGTGGGTGTTGGCGAGGGCCTTCGTCCAATGATACTGGACTCGAACGGAAAGAACGTGAGCAAAGAGATTGTCAATTCTGAAGAAGAGGATGTCATCTTGGTGTGTGAAGGCACAGAACCTGTGCACTGGTACCACATTGTCTATAAAACCGAAGAGAAGGTGAGTGACCTAGACATTGTTCTATATACAGACACAGTCATGAAGCCAGGCAGTTACATTGACTGTTATATAGATAGCTTTACAGGCAGTCACATAGTCGTATACACACAGTGGTATAGACAGTATCGCAGGTTCAGTGGGTGGGAGAGCTCGCTGCGCAGGCTCGACACATTCAGTATTCGCAAAAGGAAAACTACCATTATCTCCACCGCGTCACGAATAATTTTTGTTGTTGTAGTTTCAGAGATTATTTTTATAATTATCGTCACCGACGTTTACGTCCTTCCTGCGTCAGTTCAGCCGAACACGGTGGCGTCTAGAATGGACTGGATAGAGGACTGATTAAGATATCAGGCTTTGGATAAAGGGTTTAGGCTCTGAGTAAGTGATTCAACCCTGAGTAAGGGTTCAAGCCGATGATAAGGGATTAAAGCCAAGGATAAGGGGGGTTAAAGGCCTGGATAAATTGTTGTAAAGGGATATAAATATTATGTTATAACATCCAATACAACAAACTCTGGCAACATTATCAGTTTATATAAAATCATTCTCACTACGCAATTACTCGAAGCCTCTCCCCGTTGCACAGACGTCATAGTCACCGGTTCTACAGACTGTAGTAATCTTGTGTACTGTGTCTGTGTGCAGTGATACCACTTGCTTTATACAGAAAACACAAATCGAGCAGTGAAGAAAAGCTAAACGTACGATAGCATGCTGGGAGACATGCATATATCTGTTCCGGTAAAAAATTGGTGAAATCATCTAAAAAAAATTCTAGATTATATTAAAACCACCTAGATTTACATCTAACATCTGGAATAGCATTTTACGACGTCCAGACATTAATAAAATCCTCTAGATTTAGATGTTAAGCCTTCAAATTGGCAACAATGACTGAGATACAATATTGTATGATTTGTTAAACATTTGCAGAAAATTGTTCATCATACCACCTTGGCTGCCACCATCCCTAACTTCACTACCGCTGCCCAGCTCAAGGTAATGTATTGTGGGGTGTGTGTGTGTGTGTGTTGGGGGGGGGGGGAGAGAAGTGTGTGTCTGTGGGGAAGGGGAGAATGTGTGCGTGTGTGGGGGTGGAAAGTGTGTTGGATATTAGGCTGTAATTCTCCAACTCTGATAGCCATTTGTTAGACCATTCCTTCAGTTTGTCTAGGTCATCTAGTTGACTCTTGCTGTCTTCCTCTGTCTTAATCCTCATAATTTTAGCGTCGTCAACAAACATTGAGAGGAACGAGTCTATAGCCTCTGAAAGATCATTTTACGTGTATCAGAAACAAGATTGGTCCGAGTATAGGAGCCTGCGTGACTCCACAGGTGACACACTGTCAAAAGCTGAATACGAAGAAGAAATTTGCGTATGATTTCGATAAACCAATCTATTTGTGGCATATACAATGAGGGTGTTATTCTATTATCATAACAGCTGCATTTGAACAACGACGAGCAAGGCTACTTCTCCTGCCAGTACTCAGACGCAACAAGTAGTGAGGACCAAGAGCGTGCCAACACCGTCTACATCTACCTCCACGGTGGGTTCATCATATACTTTATCTTATGGTAAAAAAAACGCCTAATATTGATATAATGTGTAGGTCTAAAAAAACTGACACAACCTGACAGTGAAAATATAGTCGCAATATTATGCTTATTTAGGAAAATTTGAGTGTACATCGCGGTAACTTGAGTATATCCGCAGCCTACAACGTTGAGTGGGCTTTCATTTCGGATTCGGAGAATGAAAAACCCGTGATAAAGGAAATTGGGGATACAGCTGTCCTGGACTGTAGGCCATCACATCCTGACTGCACAGTGACGCTCATGCATGGAGACATTGACGTAAGTGAGTTAGTTATATATATATATATATATATATATATATATATATATATATATATATATATATATATATATATATATATATATATATATATATATATATATATATATATATATTAAGACCACCACAACTCATTCTATATATATATATATATATATATATATATATATATATATATATATATATATATATATATATATATATATATATATATATATATATATATATATATATATATATATATATAATATTAAGTCAACCAGCAAATATACTTTAGTTCTGAACATAGTCCAGGACTAATGTAAACTCAGTGTACATACACCTCTAAGTGTATTTTATAAATGTTTTATTATTTTTTTGTATTAATTGTTGTTTTATTAATATATGTTAATTTACTGCAACGAGCCAAACAGAGATACAAATATCCACAAGTCATTATACTATACAGAACAAGAAAACATTTAATTATGAAACGGTTAAATCCATATATATTGCGTTCTAACAGTTTAGATTTAAGATTAAGTTTATATTTACATTGATTTGTTGTAATATTTGCAGAAAACTGACGAAGTTCCTTTTGACCCCAAAATTGGATTTACTCTCTTCAACTTGACATCCGCAGACGTCGGGACCTACACCTGCAAGTTGTGCGATGAATCAGAAGATCCCATACGCACTCTTAGCGTTAAAACCACTAGTGAGTTTAGCTTGTTTCTTGGGCCAAGCTAATTTACTGTGAAATTTCAGCTCGTTTGCTAAATCATGATATATTTATTTACACTGTTGTGTTCGTACATAACGGAGTGTCGTATCTCTGTTATTTTTTTAAGTTTATCCAGAGCATGGACACTCTATCTAGAGCCTGATCCCTTTGTCTAAAGCATGGAACATAAGAATAAAAGTAACTGAGGCCTATTGGCCCATACGAGGCAGCTCCTATTTATAACCACCCAATCCCACTCATATACATGTCCAACCCGCGCTTGAAACAATCTTGGGGCCCCCCCCCCACCTCCACACGTTATGCGGTAATTGGTTCCACAAATCAACAACCCTGTTACTGAACCAGAATTTACCCAGGTCTTTCCCAGGAACGAAGGCAGCTCCGGTCCCTCAAGGTGCTCACAAAGTAAAGGAAGTAGCTACGCGAATTTTGGTTGTGGGAGATTCCCAGGTGAGGTATTTGGATAGTGCTCTTTGTTCCATTGACAGGGGGAACAGGTGAAGGGTTTGCTATCCGGGATCAGGGATTGGTCATACAGTAAACAACATGAATGATATTATGGCTGGAAATTGGAACAAACCCATTTATTATTATTTTCTACCACAGACGTGGCCACACATTTACAATGCTAACCAGCATATATACATTTTCTTCTGTCCTCCATGGACAGGGTGAGAGATCTGTTAAACATATAGTTCAAGGATTTATTGAACAATCGACGACAGAAGGTGATTCGGTGCTTTTAAAAATGCTAAGCTAACCTACATACGAAAATACATAGATACACAGATTTACGTATGCCCTACATAAAGTGTTCGATGTGTCATAGTGTCATTAATGTGCAATTACAAAGGTTATTATTTAACCCAATTTTTGTATCAGTGCAGGTGGAAATGATGTTGGACGAGTTAGGAGTGAGGCACTGATACAGAGGTTTAAGACAGCCATAGAATTAGTTAGGAAACAGGGAGGAATCCCGATCATATTTGGCATTCTTCCAAGAAAGGGAGTTGGAAATGAATGGTTGTCGAGGGCAACTTTGTGTCAATTACCGACTGGACAAATATTGCAAATCAAATGCAATATAATTCATTGATAACTGGGAACATTTCTATGGAAGAATTGACATTTATGCTCGGGATGGGGTGCATCTATCGAGGGCTGGGGTTATTGCTGTTGCCAACTCGTTGGAACCTGGGGTGAGAGGGGTTTGTTTGGGTTTAAACTGTCAGTAGATAGTGGTATGGGAATTAATATGGAGAAAGGAGGTAATAAAAGTATATGTTTGTGTGTGTGTGTGGGGGGGGGGCAAATTGGCAAAATGAACAGGGAAAGAGAAGGAAGAGAATTTAAGCTTTGTCAATCTTTCTTCATATGACAGGTTTCTAATTTGGGGCATTAACTTTGTCATCTTATGCTAGATGCGTTCTAGCGAATTTATATCCATTTTGACGACCAAAACTGAACTGCATAATCTAAATGGGGCCTAACCAGAGCAAGATATAGCTGAAGAACAACACCAGGTGTCTTGTTACTAACGCTTCGATTAATAAATCCCAGTGTCCTATTTACCTTATTACGAACATTAATGCATTGTTTTTTTTGTTTCAAATGCTTACTAATCAGAACTCTGAGATCCCTTTTGCAATCTGACTTCGCAATCTCAACATCATCCAGCTCGTATCTTGTAACGCTATCATCATTTCCTAGTCTCAAAACCTTACATTTGTCAGTATTAATTAAACTGCATCTGCCAATCTGTTGACCATTTCAATACCCTATTTAGATCGTCTTGAAGTGATAGCGAGTCTTTTTCCATGTTTATTTCTCTCCCGATTTTATCATCATCGACTATGAACACTATCCAGAGCCGGATCTCTTCATGTTACTTATCATTAAGAAACCTGTGTAGAATGATTTATGCAACGGACAAAACTTTTATGCTCAGCATCCATTATCTCAGCCAAGATATGACTGCTAGGTTCAATATTTTTTCATGTTCCACAATTAGATTATATAATATAATATATATATATATATATATATATATATATATATATATATATATATATATATATATATATATATATATATATATATATATATATATATATTAAATATGACCGAAAAAGTAAGATTAATAATTCTAACACGAATTTTCTCAATCTTTCGTACATTTCTTTTCACTGTTGGAGGTAAATCAAAAATCAATTCTCCAAAATTCATTTTTATTTCTAGTCTGACGCGACACGAGCGCGTTTCGTAAAACTTATTACATTTTCAAAGGCTTTAGTTCACAAATACACAACTGAATAGAACTTACGCATCTCCGATTATATATCTACCTTTGAGTGAGGTGGAAGGGGTGATGTGGCATTAACACAAGACAGAACAAGATGTGGCATTAATAGGGTATTAATTTCATCAACACAAGACAGAACAAGATGGTATTAATAGGGTATTAATTTCATCAACACAAGACAGAACACGAAACAATGGATATTGAATAGAAGTGTTTGTAGAAAGCCTATTGGTCCATATTTCTTGATGCTTCTATATTGGAGCGGAGTCTTGAGGTGGGTAGAATATAGTTGTGCAATAATTGGCTGTTGATTGCTGGTGTTGACTTCTTGATGTGTTGTGCCTCGCAAACGTCAAGCCGCCTGCTATCGCTGTATCTATCGATGATTTCTGTGTTGTTTACTAGGATTTCTCTGGCGATGGTTTGGTTGTGGGAAGAGATTATATGTTCCTTAATGGAGCCCTGTTGCTTATGCATCGTTAAACGCCTAGAAAGAGATGTTGTTGTCTTGCCTATATACTGGGTTTTTTGGAGCTTACAGTCCCCAAGTGGGCATTTGAAGGCATAGACGACGTTAGTCTCTTTTAAAGCGTTCTGTTTTGTGTCTGGAGAGTTTCTCATGAGTAGGCTGGCCGTTTTTCTGGTTTTATAGTAAATCGTCAGTTGTATCCTCTGATTTTTGTCTGTAGGGATAACGCTTCTATTAACAATATCTTTCAGGACCCTTTCCTCCGTTTTATGAGCTGTGGAAAAGAAGTTCCTGTAAAATAGTCTAATAGGGGGTATAGGTGTTGTGTTAGTTGTCTCTTCAGAGGTTGCATGGCTTTTCACTTTCCTATATATATGTGTATATATATGTATATTATATATATATATATATATATATATATATATATATATATATATATATATATATATATATATATATATATATATATATATATATACATATATATACACACTATTTGGAGTCCACCCAGTGGTGCCCGGGTAGACACTTTTTGCATTGATGCCAACGCTGACCGACCCATGTTGGGGAAGTACCCGACGGTAATTACTCTTAAAAATTGGGTGAGGCTAGCCCCAAGCATCTGGCCTTCATTTCCGGAAATTATATTTTATAGATACACGTCTTATTTTTAGGTACTGGGAAAAAAGTGTGGAAGCCTGCAGTAAATGAGACTCGTAATTCCCACGCTGTTGTGGGCTATACTCTGAGGCTCAAGTGTGTTGCCCACAACGACTCCTTCTCTAATATGAAGATCTCTTGGACACCGCCAGGGGACCAAGTTGTAAGTATAGCACCATGCAGATCACCCGGCCATAATGTAGCTAGCGTAAGGTATTTATCACCAGAGGTAGCTATGTCAGAGTGACGAACACTTGGGAAAGTAGAGAAACTTTCTTACTAAGCCAGATTGAAATGTCTTATCCTGCACTCGCTGGAGAGTTTAAATTTCTATCAGGGAAAAGCGCCAAGCCATTACGACTATATAGCACTGGGAAGGGGTCAGGATAAGGATTTGGGATGGGACGGGGGGAAAGGAATGGTGCCCAACAACTTGGACGGTCAGGAATTGAACGCCGCCCTGCATGAAGCGAGACCGTCGCTCTACCGTCCAGCCCAAGTTGTTGGGCCACTCGCTGGAGAGAGCCTGGACTTCCTAGGGGGATATTTAAGGCCTGGCGTCATTCAGTAAGTTAAAGTACCACTCAATAAGGCCCGGTACCATTCAATATGAGATGTTTCTAATTATAAATATTTACTCAGAAACCACTGACATGATCTTGCTCCTCTCTGAGGTCCACATCACAACCGTGAAGGATCTCCGGAATGATGTAGAAGTAGTAACTAGTTACGTGGAAGTGTTCAACGTTACTCTTGAGGACGCCGGCCAATACTTCTGTGACGTGTCAGTGCCTGGACACGAACCTGGACGAAACAGTCTCCAAGTCTCTGTTGCAGGTACACATGATAATTCATTGTGTCGGGGGTCAGGCAGCCACTATACATATGCAGCACATGTTAGACTTTATATCGAGGTTCGCCCAGGATTCAACCCCACAACAAGTTGACTAACTCCTGGGGTACCTATTTACTGCTAGGTGGACAGGTGCATGAGGCGAGAGGAAACGCGCCTAGCTATTTCTATCCAGCCTGGGATTCGAACCCGGCTGTACTACCGGGACTCCAAGATTATTTGGACTGTGTTTCAGGTAATGTACACACAGAAATCACAATAGCGTGATGCATCAAATGAATAAATCCACAACGGCCATGACGAGGCTTCGAACCTACGTCCGAGAGGATCTGGGATCCTCTCGAACGTAGGTTCGATCCCTCGTCACGGCCCTTATGGATCTGTTCTTCAGGTAATGTGTTTGTTCTGAGGTGATTCACGTCAAGTACCTGTTGGAGAGTATGTCGTTGTGATAACAAATAAGTTTTTTTTATAAGGTACATAGAGATGAATTAACAAAGGTTACAAATCCACAAGGGTCGTGACGAGGATTCGAACCTGCGTCCGAGAGCATCCCAGACGCTGCCTTAATCGACTGAGCTAAGATTACGGCCCTTGTGGATTTGTTCATTTGATGCATCACGCTATTGTGATTTCTGTGTGTAACTAAGGTTACTTTATTTAGTAATGTGCAGTTGGCGAAGACTCTCCCAAGGACAGATTTTCAAACTATTATTTATGATATATATCTTATGATATTCTACTCCAATTATTCATTATTTATAGAAACGAGGGATCCCTATTGGAACCTGGAGTTCACAAACCTGACGTGTGAGGAAGGGCGGGAAGTTGTGTGGTCGGCGGGGGTGGTGACGTTCCCTCCTGACCCTCACATAGTCATCACTCATCATAACACCACACTTAACTCTACTCAGGTGAGACATTGTGTCCCCATCTCCTCCGTTTGTCTTACCAGCAATACAAGTTATTGAACAATCAAAACTTGCAAATCTGCACCGACTAGTTTTTGTGTTCCCAGGAAAGACAGCAAAGCAACCCCTTAAAAGTAAACTTTGAAATGTTGATTAATAACATTTATATTAAAGTTTAGGTTGTTGTTCAAGATTCGCTACCTGGAACAAAGTTCCAAGTAGCACGGGCTATGGTGAGCCCGTAGAAAGTTTAGTTGAAACAAAGTTATTATAAATGGAGCATTTTATTTATTTCACTTTATACAAAAGTTTTATACTAAAACTGTTTTATTTTAATTTTTTTACTATTATTTTTTGTAAAATTATTTAATTTTATTATATTTTTATATTAATTTACTATTTATTTGTCATGTATTACGTTACAGTAACTTATTAATCACCCTGTTATACAATATTCACGTCACTCAACAAATCTATGAGAAACCACATGGGGTAAACTACAATAATTTTAACCATTGCCTCATTATTATTAGTTCAAGTTAAAATTACATCCCATTAAGTAACTATAATATTAAACGACTAGCAGGTCTGGATACTCTTTAAATACGACAAATAAATAACTCAGCCGACCCCTATGATGGTGATGAAAGAACCCGGGCGGACACACTCACCCTCCGCTCTCTGTCCTCAGAGGCATCTTGTCCTTCTACAAAGAACGTCACTTTTCCCTCTTATACACAAAAGATTATTGATGTGTGTATTTGTGTGGGTGATTAAATATGTATGTGTATATATATATGTATACGTATGTATATGTACATGTATGCATGAGAATGTGTACATGTATATATAACATTAATAATTTTGTAACTAGCGTCAAAAGATTGTTATTTGCTTAGCTAAATGAACTAGAGGGTTCAGTTCCTGAACCGATTATGTGCCTCTGTAATCCTTTACACCACCGCCCACGGGATGGGTATGGGGTGCATAATAAAGAAAGAAATTGAAGAGCATCAATCACATAAGGCCAAACATTGTCGTACTGGAAACTGTTGTACAACAGAAACTGATACACACGCTGCTGTAGGTATATTGGGTTAATTTATATTAACTCAATATATCTATAGGCTAAAATTTATATGGAATAGTTTGTCAAATATAAATGTAATATGAGAAAATGTAACAATCTTAGATAATATAATAATTTTTACTTATTATAATATAGACAAATTCGAGTATATAATAATATAGAATAAATTTAGTATATATAAATGTTGATATTGGTTAGCTTCCATTTTATTTTTATGTTGATAATGTTCAGTTTTTATTTTATTTTTAAATCATTAAGGAAATTTTGCTATCTTTAGTTGTACCTATCTTATCATTAAGTTAAATAAAAATGATTATGATTAAGCTGTTTTAATTATAGTTTCAGGGTAGGATATGGCTTACCCTAAATTTGGACGGTCGAAGATTGAACATCGACTTGAAAAATGCGAGACCGTCGCTCTACCGTCCAGTCAAAGCGGTTGGGCTTTTCATTTTCCGATGTACAACACTTTCAAGTTTAATTTAGTCCTGAATTGTGTTCAGAACTAAATTATACTTGCTAGTCATCCAGTAACCAATAATTCTAGCCTTAGTAATCCTCCAGAAGTTGAAAGGTCTTTAAGTCCAACACCAGACCAAATGTCATTGCCACTAGTAATTTAATTAATATACGGCTTAGTAATATATATATATATATATATATATATATATATATATATATATATATATATATATATATATATATATATATATATATATATATATATATATATATATATATATATAACTTTAGAACACTTTCCCACCAGGAGACTCGAACCCTAGCCAGCACAGAAGCCTTCCATATATATATATATATATACATTGTTACAGAAAACACACATATCACAATCACTGTTCGAAGACCTCATCCAGCTCTTTGGAGGCGGGGTGCGTGCCCAAGATACAGCACGCATTTCCTCTCTGGATCGCGACACTGAGGCGCTGGAACAGGAAACTGGCCACTCTCGAGTCTTTAGTTTGCATTATATTATGTATTAAACAGTAAACTATTAACTCCTAGGATCGCCACCATCACTGGTCGTCTTTTCTTGTAACAATCTTGAAACAATCCTCGAGACAGATGAGAGTGTCGTACGACAGACTGAACGGTAACCTAGAGATCAAATTCACCCCCGTCGCCGCCAGGCACTTCGGCATGTACACCGTCACTGTCACTCGGGCCGACGGATCTACTGAGGTCCTGGAGGCGTTCCTCACAGTGAGCAGTGAGTACTTCCATGAATTTATTTATTGAAGGTGTGTGTGGGTCAACCTGATCTCTCGAGCTGTCACAACGGACAGAAAATGATGTACTAAATTGCTTGAACCTAACCAAGCAACCCACGCATTGAAAAGGGGGGGGGGGTTGCGAGATGATATGATTTATAGTACATTATATTTTGTCCGTGGGGGATTTTTGACGTCAAAATGCGGTATCTTATTCGAGAGGTCATGTTGTACCATGATGTTTGTAGTAGTGTTGTGGTGCTTAGGTCATAGATGAGGTGTCGACGGTAATGGAATAATACAGAACATATAGATTCGAACAACCCTCCACCCCCCTCACCGAATCTTTCTCAGTTATTTTAAATATATTTCGATAATATATTCAAAATAATCTCTTGTATCTAACCTCAGGCAAGCCCCAGCTGGAGGTGGGAGGAGTCCAGGAGATTGTAACGCCCGGATCAGTTGTGAGAGTGAGGTGCCGGGTCATCGCCTTCCCTCCCCCTACTGTGACCCTCAGCCGTCAGCAGTGCCCCCTGGGGCGCTGTCAGGACCCTGCTGACGATATCACAGTGAGTTTTTCTTTTGTTTTCGTTATATTTGCCCCGATTACCGTTCCCACTTAATATGTTAAAGAACGGGAAACTTCTGTTGGACAGTCTCCAGTTCTTCTGTTAAGAACAGGAAAGCTACACACACACAAAGAAATGTATATACATGTTTGTATATTTAGCACCGTTTTTTTCAGAATATTGCAGAAATCGAAACAGTTGAAGATAACGAAATTGCAGCAACTGTGACCATAACAGCTACAGAGTCTAGTGTGATCTGGTGCAGCGCCGCCAACCAGCACGGAAACGCCTCAGAAAAACTTAATATTTGCGTGAATGGTAAGCTGTGTTTACGTCACGTTTTCACATAATAATCCTTTCAACGGGGTTTTGAGAACAGACAAGTAAGACATGTAAATGTGCAACGACTATTTTTGTTCAGTCAATATTTTCTGAGGGATAACTTTAATATTTTCTGAGGGATAACTTTAATATTTTCTGAGGGATAACTTTAATATTTTCTGAGGGATAACTTTCCCATTTTTTGTTAACCTTTTTCTCTAGGAGGATTGAGATCAAGTCCCTATTCCATCACGAGAGTCCCCCACTGAGAAGATAGTTCAGCTCCCAACCTATAGTCCCTAATGAAGGTCAAATCCCAGCTTGTACGTGTCTTCACTGATTAATAATTTATAATATATTTAACATACCTGCGTATACCAGAGGGCCACCATCTCACTAGTGACCTGACGACGACAAGAAGCCGGTCACGTGTCAAAAAAAAACTCTGTTTATCACTAACAACTCTTCAACATATTCGCACATATCTCCGCAACTTGACCTCATAATTTCTGTTATTAATTAAGACACATATTCGTCATATGCTGCTATACTACATACAGCATGTCGTTTCACTATCATTACATCTGAGGAAATGCTACTGCGTCATGGGATGTCATTACATCTTGCGAAATGACATTTCCTAGAGTGATAAAACTGACGGTAAACACCTTGAACTAACCCGAGGAACAGCAGGTGAGGGAATACAGACAATGAAAAATCAAAATTTTGATTTAAAGAAAACAATAACACACTTGAGAACCATTAACAGCTTTAACTCCTGATGGTCTTCACCGAGACCGTTTTGTTTCGGGCTAAACTCTCACTGAAAAGTGAATTAAACTGGAATTTAATTAAGTGTTAACCTGAGGAGTGAAGCGCTATGAACCATTAGGGAGATATTAAGGTCCCCAATACAGATATTTGATTAAAAACAATAAATAAACATTGTCACTGATATAGTTTAAGGACTTCAATGGTTTAGAATATACATATTGAAATTAACAAGTTCCTGAACAAATCCACAAGGGTTCGAACCTACGTCCGAGAGGATCCCAGACGCTGTCTTAATCGACTGAGCTACGACCTTGTAAAAGAATTGCAACTGGAAGTTCTTCTGACCACTCGGACGTAAGTTCGAATCCTCGTCACGGCCCTTGTGGATTTGTTCATTTGATGCATCGCGCTATTGTGATTTATGTGTGTAAAAAAGTTCCTCCTTTGCTTTGGTGTTGGCTAAATGTCTATTAGCCAATGGGAAGTTACTATGGCCACAACAATAGCTTATTGACCAACCAATAAGAATAAATCTGAACAAAGTAAATGTTTATGTATTATATATATTCACAGAATACAAAAGTACTTAACTTTAGAGCATATATATATCTTAAGCAACCCGTTCTCGCACTTGCTTATAGTCAATATTTGGTATATGAATAAATGCATATGTGACATACTAATTTATTGTGAATATTTGAGCTTACCTTGAAATGCTGAATAGAAAACACCGATCTAACCCTAACCTTCTTAGTATGTTAAGATATTACAATTAGCACTGAACCTATACCTATATTGATATTACAGTTTTATAAAAATAATAAAACAAAACTAAAATATTTAAATAAATTGTAAAGTAACTCAGGATATTGTCAAATTTTGTATAAAATCTCTATTGTTTAATAAAACTGAGAGGAAGATTTAGTGCCTTGGAAAAAAATTGGCTTGGAATGTCACATATATACTTATTTATAAGTGAAATAGTGACCGTAAGTAATAAGTCCTCTCTTGTGCGAGAGCGGGTTGTCTAAAGTTTGGTGCCTGTTTTATATATTCCATTGCACTGAGGCTGTGAAACTATATTTTTAAATTTTTATATCTATATATTAATGTAAACAATTTATCCTAAAATTGATTACAACAGTAATTCAATATAACAAAAATCTGTTGCAAATAAATTTGTGTATTGGTCAGATGCGGACGAGAGGTTCCAATTCAGCTATCACATAGGTGTAGAGGAGACGGAAGCGAATGGAGAGAACATTGTTCTTGCGGAAAACGATCCCATCAACATTACATGCAGGGGAAACAATTTTGATTACCAACATGTTTCGCTCAATTTCATACCCAATTCTTCAGCTAGTAAAGGTTAGTAAACAAATTCTATTAAGAATTAGAAGCCACAATGTAGAGATCTGTTATGTTTATTGCAGTCAATATACATTTTGATATAAATGAAATTACCTTGCAAAGAATCATCCCATTTTTTGTAATTCATCACAATTTTGTTTACTAGATGTCATGATTGAAGACAAGTCCAGCATCTTTTCCCACGTGAGACAAATTACCACAGCCGGGGTGACGAGGTCCTACGACGGGGTATACCAGTGTACAGCTTCACCACGAGAGGACCATCGCCTCGAGAAACACCAGAGACTGAACATTACTGTTCAAAGTGTGTGAACCTCATCCCACAGAATACGTACAAGTGCATAACCCTGACCAGGCTAGCGTAACTTCCTTAACATGCGCAATACCACTTTTAGCAGCCTGTTACAAAGTCAATATGACGAGCGCTTGAAGTCAATATTCAAGAAGGCACTCAACCTAGACTTAGATGAGAGTGACTGGGACCAAGCAACACTACCAGTCAGACTTATAGTTGGGGTATAAGTCTAATGACTTCCTAATACTTGTGTAATTAAATTAGGAATATATTGGTCTATAAACAGAGACGCATTTCAAAGTCTCATTCCTGTGTTTTCCAAATATGTGAGTTTATATTACATTGACGAATTGTGCGCAAAGAATAAAATAAACTTGTGTTTCTAGAGACTAGTGCTCAGATTTGCATATTATCAATTTTAAAACTTACAGCCGAGGAACGAGTCACGTTCAGTGATGTGAACAGGAAGGATCCGGGAAGAGTCATGGAATTTCTGCCCAAACAATTCTTCAAGTTCGACTGTAGTGTGAAGGGAACTCCCCCTATCAACATCACCTGGTTCAAGGTGAGAATGTCTATTTAGTATTAATAATATCAATTTACCTGGATACGTGTATTTCTCAAGTTTATCTATTTTTATCTATTGCATGTATATGCATGTATTAATCTGTTATTTTTCGCATTGTGAACAATTGGTTGCCATGCAAATTAGGTTTCGCTTTGCGTACTGAAATATTTATTTTATATATTTTTATTTAGTTATTATTTATTTATTTATTCCTTTAAATAAATGATCCTACAGGGTTCCGTACATGAACTCATTCTGTTTCTGATATACGTAAACGATCCTCCAGAGGGTACAGACTCGTTCCTCTCAATGTTTGCTGATGATGCAAAAATTACGAGAAGAGTCAAGACAGATAAAGATCTGAAGTGGGGTCAGCCTATGTCCTTCCCGAACCCTGGACCATTCCCCTTGCAAATTTGGGCGAGGCTAGACCCAAGTGTCTGGTTCCCAACTTTAGACAAACAGGCCGCCGAACGTAGACATTTTCTCTTATAGATATGTGTATTTAGAGGTGTATAGGCTGTGGAAAGTAATACATTCAAATGTTGTTGTTGTTAAAGATTCGCTACTTGGAACAAAGTTCCAAGTAGCACGGGCTATGGTGAGCCGTAGTGCCTTGCATTCAAAGGTGTTCCCCGCTTCTCAGTGAGTTTAGTGCAGACCTGGACTATGCTCAGGGCTACAGCTAGTACACTTGTTGGATGGTCAGTAAGGTATTGTGCGGCCTTAGTAACCCTCCAGAAATTGATAGTCATTAAGCTCATCACCACCTGTGAACTTTAGCACAGTTGCTGATAAGTTAATCCAATCTAACACCTAACCATCCACTATTTAAAAATTAAAAAATAAATCCACTTGCAAGATATGAGGTTAAACACCATCAAACATAAAACTTTACTGCAGACGAGGAGTCACAATAACGTGGCTGAAATATGTTGACCAAACCACACACTACAAAGTGAGGGGACGACGACGTTTCGGTCTGTCCTGGACCATTCTCAAGTCGATTGTGAATGGGATTTTCAAGTCGATTGTGCGAATGTGACCATTCTCACAATCGACTTGAAAATGGTCCAGGACAGACCGAAACGTCGTCGTCCCTTCACGTTCTAGTGTGTGGTTTGGTCAACATAAAACTTTACTGTTTGTCAGGATGATAAGCCCCTCAACGACACAATCTTCGCGCTGAGCCTCGGCCAGCAGGTCCTCAGTATCGAGGACCTGAATGCCCACAAGCATGCTGGCAAGTACTCCTGTGTGGCCACCAATCGCAACGGAAGGTACCGGATTGAAGATCATCTGGAAGTTCGTTTTAAAGGTGAGTTTCTGCAATATATAGAATTATATTTCATTGCGGTGTGTTGAAATGTATACATAGAGCCCCTAGGTATGTGTTTGATTAATACAGCGCCTAGTGTGAGGTCTCGAGAGATAAGGACACACCCAGAGTTTACCCACAAAACTAACACCCAGGTTCCCTTCACCAGCTGCTGGCGTCCCACAAGTCACCAAAACTGTGCTGGTCGTGACGGTGGTCAGTTTGGTCGTCCTCCTCTTCGTCGTCCTTTACCTTGCCCGCAAGGTCGTCAAGGAACGCAGGAGGAAGGCAGCCATGAGGGAAGCCATCCTGGAGCTCTTCAGGGGAGGCGGGGTCGGGGAGCTGAATCCTGACCTGCCGCTAGATGAGCAGGCGGAGCTTCTTCCTTATGATAACCTGTGGGAGGTCCCACGTGAAAATATTAAGATAGGTAAGTGTTTGAATATTATTAACTTGGCATCAGAATGTAAATAGCATTCAATTCATACAAGTCAATATTTATCTCAGTTTAGAGCTTGATAGGTCTTGATAATCCTCCAAAGGTTGATAGGTCTTAATAATCCAACAGTGGTTGATAGGCCTTAACAGTCTAACAGAGGTTGATAGGCCTTATAACAAGCCTACATCAGACTAAACTCTCACAAGGTGAGAGTTTATCCTCGTTAGAGTCACTTGTCTTTAAGCTCACTCCTCTAGTTTACCCTAGAAGACCATCAGGTTTACAACCGGGTCCCCAATTACTGCTAAATTAACAAAGGCAAATAGTTAATGCTGGTGTCCAATCATTCTTCACTACCGGTGGCTGGAACTTGGACAGATATCACTCGATAGACGAGATCTATATCCAAATATTATTTGTATTTATTTGTTGGCATTTTACTGAAATTTGTCTACTGTAGCAACAGTGATATTTGTGTCGACTCTATACGTCTGAGGTCAATATTTAACCCAAGGACACGGAATCTTTTCATACCCAATTATGGATAGATGGATATATTATGTTAATTATAGAAATAAGCAGTTCTTACAACACTAGTGGAAGCCTGGTTAGCCAGAGCGTGCGTCTGGGTATGTTTCTTTACACCTGATGCCTCTGTTCACCTAGCAGTAAACAGTACCTGTGAGCTAGGTAACAGCCGAGTGTTGTAGCCTAGAGTGAGTCAGCAATTGGGCTATTGGCATCATATAGGCCTATCAGTCTTCCTGTCCCCATCAGTGGGGAATCAGTAGAGAACACATGAACAATAAGCTTGTAACATTAAAAGCTTGAGGAAGCTTGTAATGTTACAAGGTTGAGTTTTATCCTGTGAACAGGTCGACAGCTTGGAGCGGGCGCGTTTGGTCGGGTGGTGAAGGCTGTGGTGGAGGACCTGGAGGCGGGGGACCCCTCCACCGTGGTGGCTGTCAAGATGTCCAAGTTCCACAACGATCACAACCAGATGAGAGCATTAGCCAAGGAGCTCAAGATCATGATCCATCTTGGCAAGCACCTCAACATTGTCAACCTCATGGGTGCCAACACCTCAAATATAGCCAAAGGTATGAGGCGATGGGATCGAACCTCCGTCCCGGGTCACAACCAGCCGCACTCCTTACCCTTTGGATCACAATATTCGAGTTTGTAAGGACTCTAGATTGCATAACTTTAGATCATATGTTGTTGTTTCAGATTTGCTACCTGGAACAAAAATTTCCAAGTAGCACGGATAAGGGTGAGCCCGTGTTAGATCATAACGTGATGCATGATCTAACACGGGATCACCATAGCCCATGCTACTTAGAACTTTAGATCATATTGTTGTTAAAAGATTCGCTACCTGGAACAAAAAGTTCCAAGTAGCACGGGCTATGGTGAGCCCGTAGTGCCTTATTTTTTAGATCATAACGTGGTCCATGAGGTAAGGCGCGTGTCTGCGGTGGTATAGGACATGGAGTTCCGTCTTAGAACGGCGGGATACATACATACTTTTAAAAATATACTCAGGTTTCCTGGCCCCGATAAAACGAATTAATTATATCTCCCGGCTTGGTACCTTATTTTAATAATTACTTCCATTCAAGGCGAGCTGTGGATCCTGGTTGAGCACTGTAGGTACGGTGACCTCCACACCTTCATACTCCGCAACCGGGTCAACTTTGTCAACCAGATTGACCCTTGTACTGGACACATTGACCCCACCATTGCTGTCATGGAATTCAGTTATCCAATCCCTGGAATGAGCAGGTAAGTCCATCCATGATTACCTAACTTGTTAGGTTTCAAATAGAATCTATATTGAAAAGTTGATGGAGTTATTTGATGATGATTTGAGGATGGAAGGAGGGTTGACTGGAGAGGCTGGTAGACGCATGTGATGGCTGAGGCAGACAAGGAACTATGTTTGCGTAGGATTGTTATTATTAATGCTTAAACTGGTGTGTTTGAATGTGTTGGAGTCTGATTTAGAATCAAAGGATGTGTCTGTAACGACTTAAACAAATCGTTGCAATTCTGGCTGGAAATTACAGAGTTACAGCGGTTGTACAGCGGATGTACAGCAGGTGTACAAAAGGTCTACAGCAGATGCATAAAAGGTGTACAGCAGATGCACAAATTACCACAATTTAAACGGCCCGTTTTTGTCTCTACCAGACACCAAACGTAAATTACTGTAGTTATGACCGCTGCTAAATGATCGATGTTTCGCGGTTGATGTTGCTGCAGTTTCACTCTGATGTTTACAGAAAGGATTCCTGTTATCGCGGGAAGAGCTTGAGGAAGACCGTCTACGACGTCTCAGATGACACACAGGCTTCACCTCGGTACGTCGCAGCAGGGTACAACGACGGCCCCAAGCATGAAGTCAATCATTATCCAGACGGCAAGCCTCTCTCCGATGATACGGGTCAGTTGCCAGCTGGGAACTATGAGGTGTGGAATGGTGGGGTTCGGGGCTTGATCTGCCTTCAACTTGGGACTTGATATGCCCCCAGCTTGGGGTTGATCTTTCCCCAAGTTTGGGGTTTAATCTAATACATTTTGAGGTTTGATTTGTAGCTTAGACCTTGATATGACTATCCTGAAGCTTGAGCTGTCTGGAGTACACCGCTAATGGGTTATGAGAGTTCAACTCTTCAAACTAATCCTGGGGCTAGGCTTATCTTGGGATAACTTGGTCGAGAAACCTTGTTTAGAGCAGCCCGAAAAGCCTACAACGTCCATTACAGCCTAATTCGTCTGGCACTTCCTGCAAGAACATGTCTAATTATTCTTGAACACGTCCCCCTTGTGTTCTGGGAATATTTCCATCCACACTGATCAATGTACGCCATTAACACTGAATTCGGTCTACATAATCCCTCTAACTCCCTTAGTTTCTTCTCCTTAACTTGTGATTACTTCACCCAGAATTTTATTTACAGAAGCCACTGAGAAGGGGCACTTGATGGTCGACTCCCACAACCAACAGTATGTCTATGACATAAGCTTGGTCCCTGGAGTCACTTCCCCCTTCACCACCAGTGACCTCGTCTGCTGGAGCTGGCAGGTGGCCAAAGGGATGGACTATCTCAGCCACAGGAAGGTACACAGATTGAAAACAAAGAGTTTACGTTTCCGCTCTTAATGCGCGGTTTGCCTCGGAGGAATATTATTTTTAACCATTGATGTTAGTCTATTTTTTTTCTTATTTACTGTTATACCCGCATGTTATAGAGCTCCCTGGTGCAGGTTGAATAATTTCACTCTCACACTTTCGATTACCTCTTTATTACACTTTGGTATCTGGTCTAGGACACCCTCACACTGACCTTGGTGCAACTGTACTTCATGTCCTCTCGCACTAAGACCCTTAACATTCGCCTTACAACTGCACCCCTTAAGCATTACACTCAATCTTCACACTTACACCCTTTACCCTCACACTTACTAGTTTTACATTTGAACTTATAATTCCTGCTCAATAATTGAAGCACCTGTAAGTGTGCAGTACTTTAGTATAGAACTTTCATGACAAACAAGGCACTATGGGCTCATCATAGCCTGTGCTACTTGGAACTTTTTGTTCCAAGTAGCGAATCTTAAACAACTATAACTATCAAACAACATGTATTACGGGTTCCCCATATCCCGTGCTACTTAGAACTTTTTGTTCCAGGTAGCGAATCTTTAACAATAACTATCAACCATTTAACATTTTAGTATATACATTAAAAAATACACTCTTTTAAGTATATATATACTTTAAATTACATTTGTTTTGGACTGTGTCCTAGATATAAGTATACTTGCTGGTTGATCTGTTGGCACTTGTGATGGTTTAAATGACCGTCTAGAGGTTGATAGGCTTTTCAAGACCTTGGCATTCATGACCTGTCATAAGTTGCCGGTCGTTAAACCCAACAAGTTATACCTTAGCATTTGCAAATCAACAATTCCCTAATGTTTGCAAGATAACTATAGTGTCTGCAACTTATTAATGCTATCGTGTTTGTAATTCAACAATACCATAGTGTCAGTAACGCTCCAATACGAAAACATTACAGCTCTAAATAAACTTAATCATTGGAGTTGTGTTACAGGTGTTGCATGGGGATATTGCTGCCCGTAACCTGTTGCTTGCGGACAACAACGTGGTCAAGTTGAGTGACTTTGGACTGTCTAAGGACGTCTACAAGAGTGATATATATAAATTAAAAACTGACGTAAGTCATTTTATGTCTAATTATTTTTGTTGAGGTTTAAATTGTCAATAAACTGTTATAATTACTATTCATTTATTGTGATCTTGGTTGAACCTATAATAAAATAGTGTAGGAATAAAGAACGTTGCAGAGAGCTTAACTTGGCTAAGCAAACGATTGTTATTTTAGTTTTCAATAAGCTGGTCATTAAAGAGAGAGTCGAGGCAATGGCGCCCTATCTGATAATACTTTTACATTCATTAATGTTCTTTAAGAATCTTGAATGTGAGAAATGTGTTTATTTGTCCATGCTTATCCTGACCCCTTCCAAGTGTTATATAGTCGTAATGGCTTGGCGCTTTCCCCTGATAAGTCCTACCATGCTATTGTTTCATACGATAGATAAATTGTAACACGGCTTATGCTTTAGACATAATATATATTACCTCTATCTAGAAATCCAACATCCCGTTTGTAACTCATTTTGTATGTATGTACTTTTACCAGAATAAACTATAATAATAATAATAATAATAATAATAATAATAATAATAATAATAATAATAATAATAATAATATGGCTTCCGAAATGTTTCAGGACATGATGCCGGTCAAGTGGATGGCTATAGAAGCGCTCCGTGACAGGCTGTTCAGTGTTCAAAGCGACGTGTGGGCGTACGGGGTGACGCTGTGGGAACTGTTCTCCCTTGGCTCCACACCCTACCCGGGCCTCACCATCGACCACACCTTCCTTCAGAGGCTGGAGGATGGTTACCGCATGGATAAACCCAAGTGTGGCAACGATAAGCTGTAAGTCTCAATTTACTGTAGTCACAGCTCGTGGGCGACAAACAACATTAAGGTCATCAGTAGAATACAATTAATTATTGGCCAATATTTAACATTTTCGTATGTAACAATTGAAACGTATATCAAGCGAGTCATTAAACAAAGATAACACAAATGCTGATCTAGGAATAGAAAATTACCACAGTGGAAAAAGAAAGGTTAACAGCTGAGCGCTTTCGACTATGTCTTCTTCAGAGGTGAACTGAGTTCAGCTCTTCTATATGATGAAGATAGTAGAAAGCGCTCAGCTGTTAAACTTTATTTTTCCAATGTGGTAATTCTGCGCGCGCACGAATACACACACACACATATTACAAATATATATTACACACACACACACACACACACACACACACACACACACATATATATATATATATATATATATATATATATATATATATATATATATATATATATATATATATATATATATAATATAATTCATTTCATCATGGATGTTTTGAACTTCAATTAATGGACTATACCTTTGGACCTAAAACTCATTTATTAGATTGAAGAGCTGTACTCCACGCACATGTGGGTGGGTGTGGATATATATATGTGTGTGTATGTGTTTGATTTAGACACACAATTCATGTTTCTTCATTGTGAACATACTGGACGAAAAAAAACTTGATTCATATGTTTTTAAAGTGCATAACATTTAGCTGCACGGATACGTCAACAGGCAGGACCTACTAATGCAGTGTTGGGAGACGGAGCCGGGAGACAGGCCAAGCTTCGCACAGATCGCCCAGCTTATTGGTCAATGGCTCTCGCCTGAGGTCATGCAGGTAAGCCTCCAGGCCATTCTTGTGGGGGGACCTCGTTTGAGATTGTTAGTTAAATACTGATAAATCAGAATATTTGTTGAAGTTATATTCATAATGAAAAGTTATTGTACTTATTGATTGTCATATATGCACGTGGAAATATCCAATTTATCCACTAACATAAGAATCCATATCTAAGGTTGGGCATAATGACATTTTTCACTTTTATGATAAGACATATTACAGAAACAGAAAATAGTGGTCTCACGTAAGTAAAGCAGGCCAAAAAAGTAGTGTACATTATGATTTACTATACTTGTAGTGTACTGTTCTATGTACTCTCTTGTACTTTTGTATGTACTGAACAGTGAAAGCATTTATCTATCAGAGCCTTTAATAATCCTAACGCGTAATGATCGTTTGTTTTCCCAGAAATATGAAGAGATGAACCTGCAATATATGGACAGCAACAAGAAATATTTTGAAACCCAGACAGACTACCTTAAGATGGTCTCCTCCCCAGTCTATCAGAATGTGTTTGACGAGGAAGAAACCAGTAAAGTAATTTTCAACAGTTAAACTACTATCGTTTATGGATATTGAATATCCGCGTCAAGAATTAACTTGTTAATTAGAGAGGGATTAACAACAGAGTAGATGAACAATATGAGATAAACACACATTGATCATATTTTGGCAATAGAGTTGTGAAGAAAACACAGTGACAGATCCTCTTGAAATGTCATTACTCCTTCCAATCATTGTATACCCAACAGGTAAGGACCGACATAGATGAGAAGACTGTCTTATTCACTCACGAGAGAAATCTAACTCCATCTCCAGTGAGTGAAGATCTCTGCTTATTAAATGAACAAGATTTCAATTACCTGCCAATGAGTTTATACATGGATCCTATTCCCGAAACTACTGATGACCTCAGTCCAGCCGCGACGGACAGATTGTAAGTATCAAAGAAACATGGTTTGGTGTTGAATTTAAGACCTACCAACCTCTGGAGGGTTATTAAGTGATTACTAATCAACCAGCAAGTATACTTTAGTTCTGAACATAGTCCAGAACTAAAGAATACCTTTGTGAACAGGAACTATCAAAGCTATTGTGTATAATTTTTTTATTAACAAGCTTAGGTGTACACAGCAATGTGCTGCTACCCTATTCTATATGGAAATATTACACAGTGTAGATAAAAAACTAGCTTATTAAGTTCATCTAATAATTAGATATCTAATATGTTCATAAGCAACCCATCCTCCGAATTGACAGTACGATTTAATACTAAGTGTAATAAGTTGAAAGACAAATTTTAAATATCAGGAATTTCTTTTTCAGGTTTATTAAACAATATAGATTTTATACAGAATTTTAAAATATCCTGAGTTACTTTACAATTTATTGATATATTTTAGTTTAGTTTTATTAGTTTTATAAAACTGTAATATCAATATAGCTATAGGTTAAGTACTAATTGTAATTAAGAAGCAATAAAATTTATTATCTTCAAAAACTAAGACGGTTAGGTGAGGTTGTGGTTTTCTATTCAGTTTTTCAGGTAAACTCAAATATTCACAACATATTTGACTACGATTTAATACTACGTGAAAATAAGTTCAATTCCTAACTGCTATGAATAGTACATAATTGCACTTATTTGTTTTCTTACATTTACCACCCCATTTTTGGAGGACGGGCTGTCATAACATCTATATCACAATGAGATGTATCAAAGAAAACAGGTGTATGGGGGGGTAACACCAGTAGACTAACAGACGGTGTCACAGCCCGAATACGACATAAGTACAGGTATAGGGATCTACAGGCTTGTATAGGGATCTAGATGAAGTAAAGTGTAAAGTGTGTGGACAAGGACAAAGAAAACGTTAAACCATTACATCTTGTGTAAAAAATTGAGCCATTTAGAGATAAATCTAAACTCACGATGCATGAAATGGCAAACTATTTTATTACAATAGATAAATTATCTGAAATCCTTTTATTGTATCCATGTTTCGCTTCTAGTAGATAAATAACATGAGATTAAGGTACAAACTGTGTAGTGTGAAGACTAATAATAATAATAAACAGCTTTTCTATGATCCTGTAATATCCCGTTGGCAAAAACAGTTATATACCAGCCAAAAGATCTACCATTAATATATAATGAATAGTTGTAAATACATAATTATTGAAATGGAACATTCTCTGTAACTAGCTGACATTATAATTACAAGGTGTGCAGGAAAAATATAATTGGTAATGTAATAATCACCGGTGAGGTTTGATAAAGACCTTATAAATAATGTATATTCATTATATGTATATAATGAATATACATTATTAAAATTCTGCCCGAAACGCTGCGTGTACTAGTGACTTTACAAGATTGTAAATTACCATTCAATGTATTCTCACAAACCCAATGTACCTTCTTGTATATAAATATAAATAAACAAATAAATACATGTTTGTAGTGTATGACGTCATGTGTAAGGGGGATGATTTTGGGGTTGTCCGTTAAATATGGACCCCATACCCATCCTGCGGTTGGTAGAGGTAAAGGTTACAGAGACACATAATGGGCTCAGGAGATAAACCCAATTTCATTTAGCTAGGTGATTAACGAGTACCAATTTTTTCACATTTTTCTAGGTGCCCGTTGTTGGAAGAACACCATGCCGCAGGCGAGACACCACAAGCAACGGAGTCATGCTGTCAAGATATCCTAAACAATAGGCTGTCAGAACAGCGCTCTGGGAACTTGCCAGTAAATGCGAACTATGCAAATCTTCAGCTGGTACAACCACCAGCAACGTCTTGACCTTCGACATGAACACTATAAAATCAGCAGTAATTTCATGCTTTGTTAGTTTCTTTGAGAGAATTAGGTCTTAAGCCCAACATCAAATCTATCAACCTCCGGAGGGTTATTAAGGCCACCACAACAGCTTACTGACCAACCAGAAAGTATATTTTAGTCCTAAACATAGACAAGGACTAAAGTATAAACTCTCAGTGCTTAGTGTATGACTGACATTGTAATTATAAGGTGTGAAGGATAGATGAAATTGTTAATGTAATCATCACCGTTGAGGTCTGATAAAGACCTTTTGTGCCCTCTGTCATCCTCCCACTAGCCCACTAGCCACCACTGACGGCAACATCAATAAAAAAGAATCTCAGTGTATTGTACACCGAGATGCGGGGTATACATTTTTGTGTGTATATATGCATCAGAGAGAGGTTTTTATATGAGGAAATAGGCTAAAAATAGGTGGAGGAAATAGGTTAAAAAAGACCTTGCAGGAGACCCAAAGGACTAAGAGGGGAGACATAACTATTTGTTATAATAAATAACATAAAGGCATTTGAGGTCATGGAGTCGCCTGGTACCTCGCATGAATAGAGTCTGCAACATTTATATTTCTGAAGCCCCAAAATATATATATATATATATTACTATTAAATCAATGAAAATCTTATTTTTATATTCCATCTTTTTATATACACACTCAGTTATGGAGGTTCGCCAAGGCCTACCAACCCCTTGAGGGGTTATCAGGTCTTTCCAACCTCAGGAGGCTTATTGGGGCCTACCTACACCTCTGGCCAGGTAAGCTGGCCAAGCTTGGAGTTTACCGCAAACCCAAAACAGTCTTTTACTAATCTCTAAAGTTTGCTTCTCAGTTCAGACATTAGCTTAAGAACTGAAGTTATACTGAATGGCTTGGCTTTGGTGCTTCAGTAACGTCTGAGAGCAGCCTAAGAGAGCAACTCAGAAGTAAAAACAGTAATATTAATACAAATATATATTAGTCAAATATAATAATAATAAAAATATTAATAAAACACGATAATAATAAAAATATTAATAAAAATGTAATAATAAAATGGTAATACAATATAATAATAATGCACAAAGAAATCACATAAACGTACTGCATCAATCAGAAAATCAGTAGAAGCCACGAGGAAGGAATCAAACTTATGTTGTGGGTATTGCCAAACACACGCCTTAGACCACTATGCCTCAGACAGGGTAAAAAACCAATTACAACCCGAGATTCAACTGAATTCTCGAGGGTTTCTGAGGCTCCATTTGTTCTATTCAGCTTTTCAAGGTAAACTCAAATATTCACAATAAATTCATACGTCGCATATGCACTTATTCATATGCAAGATATTGACTATAAGCAAGTGCGAGAACTGGTTGACCTACCATGCCTTGCACATTATCTCTACCATTCTCTCCATTCAGTAATGTTAAGGTTATTAGTATTATATTCAAGTGTCCTATTTAATCAAGGGACTTATCATGCTCAAGACTATTATAATTAGTCACGATATATATGTTAAGCAAATTGATGCCTCAGTATAATATTACAGAATTTTTAACAGGTTAGAATTACTAATCATCACCTGCTCCTGGTATCTAGCAGTACAGTTGCCAAGATTATTATGTATTGAATAATAATCTTGAATAGATTATTATAATTACACAAAATAATTATATAATTATTCAAGATTAGTAATATAACTATTCAAGATTATTATAATTTTTTATTAGTTACATATAACTATTATTATTATTTAGTTACATTTAACTATTACTATTAATTGTTCATCAATATATAAATTATTACTGTAATTATTAATTATAATTATTTATATTTGATTAGTTAATTAATAATTATAATAAAAATGTCCCCAACCAAACGAGTTTTTCTCCAAGCTACAGAAAATGTGACAAATGAAATACAATATGAAAGGGATAAAGTGGTATGCAAGTGATATTTAATGATGACAAACATAGACAATAGATCTCTGACGATGCCTTGTCTAACCTAACCTCATCTAAGCTGTGAAAATAACTTCTTAGGGACTTCCAGCACTTATATATATATATATATATATATATATATATATATATATATATATATATATATATATATATATTGTATATAATATTGTCGGAACAAACGTAGACATCTTCAAGAGAAAACTTAGATAATTTTCTTCAAGAGGTGCCGGACCAACCAGGCTGTGGCGGATATGTGGGCCTGCGGGCCGCTCCAAGCAACAGACTATATATATATATATATATATATATACAATCTTTGGACAACACCCACCAGTGGGACTCGAACCCAGAAAGCACAACTACCTTCCAGTAGCTGGCATAACTAGTATGCTTTAACCCACTACGCCATCAGACCTTACAAAAGAAGTAGATAGTTCGAGATATATATATCTCAAACATCTCTACCTCCCGAAGGCACCAGATGAGTGAGGGGTCAGTCTGCAATTTTCGTCAAGCCACTGTCAATGTGAGAGAACTCGTGTCCAGCTTATAAGCCTATACTTGCATAAACCACAAGTGAAGAAGAAAATCTTTGGACAACACCCACCAGTGGGACTCGAACCCAGAAAGCACAACTACCTTCCAGTAGCTGGCATAACTAGTATGCTTTAACCCACTACGCCATCAGACCTTACAAAAGAAGTAGATAGTTCGAGATATATATATCTCAAACATCTCTACCTCCCGAAGGCACCAGATGAGTGAGGGGTCAGTCTGCAATTTTCGTCAAGCCACTGTCAATGTGAGAGAACTCGTGTCCAGCTTATAAGCCTATACTTGCATAAACCACAAGTGAAGATAAACAATCTTTGGACAACACCCACCAGTGGGACTCGAACCCAGAAAGCACAACTACCTTCCAGTAGCTGGCATAACTAGTATGCTTTAACCCACTACGCCATCAGACCTTACAAAAGAAGTAGATAGTTCGAGATATATATATCTCAAACATCTCTACCTCCCGAAGGCACCAGATGAGTGAGGGGTCAGTCTGCAATTTTCGTCAAGCCACTGTCAATGTGAGAGAACTCGTGTCCAGCTATAAGCCTATACTTGCATAAACCACAAGTGAAGATAAACAATCTTTGGACAACACCCACCAGTGGGACTCGAACCCAGAAAGCACAACTACCTTCCAGTAGCTGGCATAACTAGTATGCTTTAACCCACTACGCCATCAGACCTTACAAAAGAAGTAGATAGTTCGAGATATATATATCTCAAACATCTCTACCTCCCGAAGGCACCAGATGAGTGAGGGGTCAGTCTGCAATTTTCGTCAAGCCACTGTCAATGTGAGAGAACTCGTGTCCAGCTATAAGCCTATACTTGCATAAACCACAAGTGAAGATAAACAATCTTTGGACAACACCCACCAGTGGGACTCGAACCCAGAAAGCACAACTACCTTCCAGTAGCTGGCATAACTAGTATGCTTTAACCCACTACGCCATCAGACCTTACAAAAGAAGTAGATAGTTCGAGATATATATATCTCAAACATCTCTACCTCCCGAAGGCACCAGATGAGTGAGGGGTCAGTCTGCAATTTTCGTCAAGCCACTGTCAATGTGAGAGAACTCGTGTTCTTCACTTGTGGTTTATGCAAGTATAGGCTTATAAGCTGGACACGAGTTCTCTCACATTGACAGTGGCTTGACGAAAATTGCAGACTGACCCCTCACTCATCTGGTGCCTTCGGGAGGTAGAGATGTTTGAGATATATATATCTCGAACTATCTACTTCTTTTGTAAGGTCTGATGGCGTAGTGGGTTAAAGCATACTAGTTATGCCAGCTACTGGAAGGTAGTTGTGCTTTCTGGGTTCGAGTCCCACTGGTGGGTGTTGTCCAAAGATTGTTTATCTTCACTTGTGGTTTATGCAAGTATAGGCTTATAGCTGGACACGAGTTCTCTCACATTGACAGTGGCTTGACGAAAATTGCAGACTGACCCCTCACTCATCTGGTGCCTTCGGGAGGTAGAGATGTTTGAGATATATATATCTCGAACTATCTACTTCTTTTGTAAGGTCTGATGGCGTAGTGGGTTAAAGCATACTAGTTATGCCAGCTACTGGAAGGTAGTTGTGCTTTCTGGGTTCGAGTCCCACTGGTGGGTGTTGTCCAAAGATTGTTTATCTTCACTTGTGGTTTATGCAAGTATAGGCTTATAAGCTGGACACGAGTTCTCTCACATTGACAGTGGCTTGACGAAAATTGCAGACTGACCCCTCACTCATCTGGTGCCTTCGGGAGGTAGAGATGTTTGAGATATATATATCTCGAACTATCTACTTCTTTTGTAAGGTCTGATGGCGTAGTGGGTTAAAGCATACTAGTTATGCCAGCTACTGGAAGGTAGTTGTGCTTTCTGGGTTCGAGTCCCACTGGTGGGTGTTGTCCAAAGATTGTTTATCTTCACTTGTGGTTTATGCAAGTATAGGCTTATAAGCTGGACACGAGTTCTCTCACATTGACAGTGGCTTGACGAAAATTGCAGACTGACCCCTCACTCATCTGGTGCCTTCGGGAGGTAGAGATGTTTGAGATATATATATCTCGAACTATCTACTTCTTTTGTAAGGTCTGATGGCGTAGTGGGTTAAAGCATACTAGTTATGCCAGCTACTGGAAGGTAGTTGTGCTTTCTGGGTTCGAGTCCCACTGGTGGGTGTTGTCCAAAGATTGTTTATCTTCACTTGTGGTTTATGCAAGTATAGGCTTATAAGCTGGACACGAGTTCTCTCACATTGACAGTGGCTTGACGAAAATTGCAGACTGACCCCTCACTCATCTGGTGCCTTCGGGAGGTAGAGATGTTTGAGATATATATATCTCGAACTATCTACTTCTTTTGTAAGGTCTGATGGCGTAGTGGGTTAAAGCATACTAGTTATGCCAGCTACTGGAAGGTAGTTGTGCTTTCTGGGTTCGAGTCCCACTGGTGGGTGTTGTCCAAAGATTGTTTATCTTCACTTGTGGTTTATGCAAGTATAGGCTTATATATATATATATATATATATATATATATATATAATATACCCTTCTTGAGCCCGGATGGGCACATGTATAAGCAAGTAGATGGGGTCGCTATGGGTTCTCCCCTAGGTGTCCTGTTTGCAAACTTCTACATGGGTACCATCGAGCAAAAAGTCTTAGTCGACATGAACTTGAAACCGGCCATATACTGCAGGTATGTTGACGACATTTTTACACAGGTACCTGATGTCAGACATCTGCAGGAGCTGAAGGAGGCATTTGAGCAGAGTTCCGTGCTGCGTTTCACTTACGAGACGGAAAAGGATGGGAAGCTGCCTTTTCTAGATGTAACAGTCATGGAAAAGGGCGGAGGTTTCCACACTGCAGTCTACACAAAGGAAACAAACATAGGAATGTGCCTAAATGCCAACAGCGACTGCCCTGACAGGTACAAGAGGAGTGTTGTTAACGCATACGTCGACCGTGCTCTCAGCCACAGCTCAGAATGGAAGCAAGTCGACGAAGAACTCTGTAGGGTAAGGCAGGTTCTAGTCAATAAGAACATAAGAACATAAGAACATAAGAACAAAGGTAACTGCAGAAGGCCTATTGGCCCATACGAGGCAGCTCCTATT